CTCAAATATTTTTAACGTGATTAAACTAAAAGCAAAACTGCACACTATTTTACATTAAAACTGGCAGATGTGCGACTGCACACTGGAATTTCACTGTCGTCATATTAGTAGGCAACTTTTCTGAACGTTTGAAGTTACGCCCCACATGATTTTGGAAGTTATCGAAATCATTTCAGAATGCTGGTAATAGGTCCTAAAACTTTGGTTACAGGGGCCTAGTTACCGCGCACCAGCGTTGGAAATTTAAAGCCACTCCCATGAAGCCTCCTCCTGTTATTAACAAAACAAAAACTAGAAGTTGGGAAAAATAGCTATAAAAAAAAAAGGAAAAAAAATCCGGCAACCACTTACAGGTTTCTTTTCGGTGATGCCAAACACAGTCTCAGTACTGGTCTAGTTGGTGGAGGGCTTCTGACTGAAACAAACTGAAGCTTCTCTTCTTTTTTTTTTTGGGTGGGTCTCACCTGACTGCTGCTTGTTTACCAGGAGCTATATAACCCTTAGGGATTTAGTTCTTCCCATGAAATAGCATCAGAACAGGTCAGCGCGCATGTATACCGTTCGTTTACCGGGTTTGAGGCCAACCCATTGACGGCAACGCATCACCAACCTGTTGTATGCAAAATGATGCTCCACCACGATACATGGAAATGTGTTATTTAACATATAGCAAAGGAGGCAACTGAAACAAAGACTTCACTTTCTCTGGTATAATGTAGCCAGTGTGGCACAGAACTTCACAACTTACAACACATGTTCAATATTATGAAATCAGTAATGAACAGTCACATCTCCAGTATGGAAAAAATATTTATTTATACGCAAATATTTTAAAGTAGACCTCAGGCAGTTTAGTCACACACGAGCGTACACTCCATCACTCACACAGCAGGTCACTGACAAACATTAGATAAGTCACACACATTTGATCAATCCTACACACAAATCAGTTCAATCACACACACACACACACACACACACACACACACACACACACACACACACACACACACAGTATTACAATCCACAGAGCAAAATTAGACTCATCTTGTGCTACTTATCGTCAGTACGTATGTATTATGTACGCAGAAATTGCATGCGTACCACCTGGAATACATACACAGTATACGCCTTTATCACTGCGTAGTTCCTGGAATAACTACGGAAGTACACACAGCCTTGCGTATGTAAATCTTACATGTAAAACACCTAATGTTATTTAGGGACGAAAACTGTCAGCTTAAACGTTATATATAAACATATACATATTTAGTAAACAGTTGTGATAAGATCACAAGAAACGGATGATATTTTAATATATATATATATATATATATATATATAATATATATATATATATATATATATATATATATATATATATATATATATATATATATAATATAACCAGAGTAAAAGGTAGCAGTTTTCCAACGTTTTCTTCACTTCTCGTATTTTCCCTTACATTAATACTTTTTCACTATGGTTATACTTCATATACATGTAAGTATTGGCGGATATACGGATAGAGTATACAGGAAGACATAAGATACCACATCGTTTTTTGGGAATGATAACACGCAAACATAAAAAAATTGAAAAAAATTACTATCTTGGGTTTGAGGGTGTGATATGAAAAATATTTCTTTCATATTCTCTCACACCCCCATGACACGGGCGCGACATGTTGTATTTTGATTTACGTCGGGGAACTCTTGGGCCCAAAATGTATCTTTTAATTCAACGTTCACCCAAAAGGAAAAAATTTTTTAAACTGGCATCACGAATATCGTTATCAATACGCAGTTTAAACCTTTAATCAAGTCTTTTTTCACATTATTATTAAAATCGAAAAAAGCGCAAAGCCAAAAGGGGTTTTAAATTTTAAAAATTTTTTTCACGTTTCATATTCATTCATTTTAAAGTTTTCCACCCTACTTTTATCAAACTTAGTGTACAAAACAGCCAAACTTAGTATTAAATCATTAATAGAAAAGACAACGAAAAAAAAAAACACAAACTTTAACGGTACATGGAAAATTATGTACAGTATCAAACGTTAATGATACCTATCCATTCCTACACTTGAAAAAACAATCCCACAAACTTGCATCATCCTTTCAACCAAAAACTCAGTTTTAAAGCCCTGGTCATAATTAAGCGGGCTCCCCGCAGTATCAAGATTAACTAAAAAAATATTTAAATTTTTATCTTTTTTGATTTTCTTCCATAAGACAATCGATGAAGCACGCAATTTGCTTTGTGTCGTTTAATACAATATGAAACACGAGATAATAACGATGAAAGACACATTAAAAAAACTATTTAAAGCAAGAGTCTAAGAAAATTTGAAATTATTCAGGGCATTATTCACACAAAGAAAAATTAAAAATTATAGTGTTTTAATTTTAACAACTTTAGGGGGAATAAAGGGTATAAAATCCCGCCAAGGGAAATAAAACACAAAAGCAGATAATGTGTCCTTTTTTGGAAACTTGTGAATTGAAAAAGTCACTAAGGGGGCAAAAACCTTGTAAATAAATTCACATTATACTGCTTATTGTTTATTAAGCAACTTTGAAAAGTATTCAATAGCACAATCCAATAGTTATACAATAACGGTCTGATTCAGAATACCTTGAATCAGACAAAATGATTCATTTAGAAATACTACAAAACCTTACATGACCAAAATAAGTTTAAAATATTCACAAAAATGCATTGCAAATAAAAAAATCCTCATGGTTTCAAAACAAACAAATGGCAGAAATAAGTTATAAAAAAAAGCTCAAATGATAAGGCAATTAAAGTCAATAGTGGGACTATCCTGGAGACATTTTTTAGTCCCAAAATATTTTACATTGTTTACACGGTACATGGAAGCCGAAACGACAAAGGTTTAAAAGCTGGCGATACAAAAGACGGTGCCAAATTTGTTTTTTAAAGGGAAAGAAAAAAAAAAAATGCCACCTTACATAACGCAATCCATTTTAAAAAATTTTTTTTCGCATAAGCCCGAACACAAATTAAAAAATTTTTAAAATTCTTTATTAAAATTTTTATATAAAATTTGGTACAGTGTTAATACTAGGCGAATTCAGGTAAAGAACTCCCAGAGCTGATTTATATTGTGCTTAAATTACATTTGAACTTTTTTCTTGGAGTTTCTAGCAAGGTTCAAGCTCGGGTCACCACTCTAACCCCTGATATTGTTATTATTTATGGGAAGTCAAACCCCCATGTAGGTCGCTCAGTGCAACAAGTGATGAGGTTCAGTCCTCGGTCCCCATCCGTTTGATTCAAAACTAGTTGGGCTGTTGGTAATAGCCGCTACTTTCCTGAGAGACCCGCCTGGGGAAAGGGGGAAACAATGCTGTCTCTCCGGGGAAAACAAACTCACGTGTAGTGTGCGTATTTTGAACAAACTAAGCGCACGCAAAACGGAATTGTTGGCTCCATCGGGTTTAAAAAATTAAAACGATTTTCTTTCCCTTTTACATAAACCGGTAGAAATTTCAAGCAAGACCACGCGAGGTTTAAACCCAAGGCTTGGGTGATGGTGGTAAAGAAAAAAGTAGCGTTTTGGGCCCCGTTTTTCCATTCCCTCCCCATGCCAAGTTTAGTGTTTAAAGTGATCATGAGAATTTTAAGGAAGGGTTTGTACAATGAAAAAAAAAATTTCCCTTGATACCCGGTTAGGGGAAAGGAAATGTATATAGGATTAAAACCTGAAACTTTTTAAAGTGTAAAACATATGTAGTTCTCGAGGAACAGCTTCTCCCAGTGACCGCTCTTTCATTTCCACAAAAGTTTTTTAAGGAAGTATCAGCTCCATTTAGCAGAACTCAGGAACCTTTTACAGTATCCCTCTTGTTCACTGGCCAAAGGACATCAAGCCCCACGGTCAGTGTATAACATCACTCGTTCCGAAGAACCAGAGTGACCGCGAGCTTCGCGATTATTTAAAAATTTTCCTCTTACATGGCGCGGGAGCTCTCACAAATCATTGGCCAATAACTTCATATTTTGGGTTTTAAACCTGACTCCCGGGGGGTTTTTAAAGTGTGAACCTCCTGGAGAGGGGATTTTTTTTTTCCACATCTAAAATCTGTCGGAAGACTTTCGTTTAGTGCCCAGGGTGTTGACGTCTACTTTTGGGGTTTCTCTTTCCACATAACACAAACCCTAGAAAATTTTCCCGCCCGGAATTCATCAAGTTGTTGATCTGCGGGTCGGATCTGTGGCCAAATCCTCATACTTTACCATGGTGAAAACCTTTTAGGATAAGTTGCTTTTGTGCGTTGCAACTTTTAATCTGTTGAGGCAAACAAAGCACTTTAGAGAGAGCAGTGGGTTTTTCTAGACCCAAAACACCGAGTTGTAACGGGAACTCATGGTGGGCCCAGGGTCAGCACTAAAAAACACCACTTTTATGTTCATCTTTCGTCGTTAAGGAAAAGCGCTCAAATTGAGGCGCAGCGTACTGTTTTCACAAGTGGATGGGGAAAAATCTGACCCGCCTTGGTGAGGAAAAAATGGCATTGGCCAGGCGTTGGGTTTGGACCCTTGTGGCAAGCGTCCCCCACAACTTTTTTGTGACCCCGCAATCCTCGGGGGTGAGAAAGGGGTAGTTTTGATACTCTCCTGGGCCCGCGAACTGCATCCATGAGGCGATGAAGCGTTGCTGAGCCCGGAAAAGGGCACGACCAGAGCGGGCCTTCGCCCCCCCGCGGGGCTGAAGGGTCAAAAAGGGGAAGACGCCAGGGTGGTTGGCCCAAAACTTGGCCCCAAAAAAGTAGAGCCAAACGAGGTTTTACAACAACCCCTGAGAGGGGTCCCCCGGGAGACCACGTCTCAAGGACTGGGGCTCACGTTTCGGGCAGTTCCACAGTCTTCTCACCAACTCCAGTGTCTTCTCCACCTCCGTCGAGTTGGCAGGGCGACTTTGTTTTCTGTTTAGCTTCCTGATCCGTTCCACGTCTTGTGTCAGGAAATCTCGATCAACAGGAACGTTGAGGATGGGTGAATGGCGACCTTCCCGCCGTGGGCCCAAGTCTTTCACAGGATTTACCCGCCAGCGTTTTTGCTACTGCCTTCGCGAACTCCTTCCCTCCTCGCCAGTCCTCTCCAGCACCTGCTGGAGAATAAGAAGGTAAGTTTTAAAGCCGAAGTCATTTAAACAGATCCACAATACAGGTCTTCTAACATACCACACACACATGTTTTGGGGGCCGTAAATCCCACACAAAGTCTCTACTACACGACTATTTTTTTCATTGCTGTTTTAACCCAATGGGTTTAGCGCTTAGTTATGATAATAATAGTCTTCTCACAGACGGTAAAGCCTGTTGCAAATTCTTGTTTAGCGAAAAGAGGATTGATCACATCACTCTTGACAAGTATGCCAGGGTGGGGTTCACTTATCCAGGCAGGTGTGGGGTTTTTTTGCTAATCAGTTGAGGGGGGTTTTAGGGCTTTAAACTGGATTTGTTAGAGGTATGGGTTTTTAAAAAATAAAAAAGGTGTGGAAAATATTTACTTATGCCTTAATTAAAAATTTTAAAATAACTGTCATGGGATAACTATGGTATTGATAAAATTTAGAAAATGTGAAAAAAAAGTTGAAAGGAAAAAGTCAGAAGAAAAAAAAATATGATGGTATTTTTTTCAAAATCGAAATGCAAGAAATAAAATTAATGAAATACTTTGGAGCGTGTGGGAACTTTGATATCACGCAAAACTGCTTAACGAAAAATGGACGATTTTAAAAATTTGGGGTATGACGCTGAGTGAAAATTCAGGGATTTAAGTTTTCAATGTGGGTGATCTAAGGGAAGGGGGGAGAGTTGCATTATATGTTCGAGAAAATATTAATTGTTGCATAAAAACGGGTATAAAAATAGATGGAGCAGTAACAGAATATGTTTGGGTAGAGTTCGTAGAGGGTCAAGAAAAACTAATTCTAGGAGTAATATACCGACCTCCAGGCTTGGATCACGATAGAGGGAGACTTCTTTGGGACGAAATTGTTAGGGCTTCTAGACACAATAACATAGTCATAGTAGGGGACTTTAACTTTAGTCAAATTGACTGGAATTCTTTGACAGGTAATCTAGAGTCCAGTGACTTTATGGAAACAATCCAGGACTGTTTTCTGAAGCAGAGCGTAACAGAGCCTACCAGGGGTAATAATTTGCTAGACCTAGTCTTGTCAAATAAGGAAACACTCGTGAATAATCTGGAGATCACTGAAGAGCTTGGCGCAAGTGATCACAAATCCATCACTTTTAGCATTAATTGGGAATACAAGAATAATAATAATACAGTAAAAATCCCTGATTTTCGTTCTGCCGATTATAATGGACTTAGGGAACATCTGTCTAATCTTGATTGGAGTTATCTAGCTAATGATTTTATTAACGATGATCATACTTATGATTATGAAGGGATCTGCTTTTATGATTTTCTTAATAATATACACCGTGCCCAGAGTATATACATTCCCCAGAGAGAAATTAGGTCTAATAATAACGATCCCAAATGGGTTAACAGGAGGCTAAAGCATCTATTAGGGGAGAAAAGGGAATTATAGGCGCATCAGAAGAGGAGGGGTTTAAACCTTACTGACCAATATGTTCAGCTTAAAAGGAAGTAAAAAAGGGGATTAGAAAGGCTAAACGTGACTGTGAAATTAGAGTTGCTAATGAATCAAAGACTAATCCAAAGGGGTTCTTTCAAGTATATAGGACGAAGGTGAAGGAAAAAGTAGGACCTCTGAAAATTGGGAATGGACAGCTGACGGATAACGAACTGGAAATGTGCTCCTTATTTAACGACTATTTTTTGTCAGTTTTACACAGGAAGATGTAAATGAGATTCCAGTAATTAACGATTATTTAGTTCCTGATGAATTTAAGTTAACTAATATTACTGTCACGAGGGACATGATTATTAAACAGATAGAGAAACTGAAGCAAAATAAGTCCCCGGGACCCGATGAGCTGTTTTCCAGGGTACTTAAGGAATGCAAGATGGAGCTTAGTCAGCATTAACGAGTGTATTCAATGCGTCCATCCTTACCGGTGTTGTGCCAGAGTTGTGGAAGATGGCTAATGTGGTTCTATATTCAAATCAGGGGATAAGTCCACTCCTTCAAATTACCGTCCAATAAGCCTGACATCTATAGTGGGCAAGTTATTAGAATCAATTATAGCTGACATTATCAGAAGTCACCTTGAAGAGCATAACATGATAAATGAATCTCAGCATGGATTCACGAGAGGTCGTTCCTGCCTGACCAAACTTACTGACGTCTTCAATAGAACATTGAGGCAGTTGACAGTGATAAGGAATATGATATTGTTTATTTGGATTTTAGTAAAGCTTTCGATAGAGTACCTCACAAGAGACTCTTAAAAAAGTGGCAGCTCATGGTAATAGGAGGTAAAGTTCTAAGCATGGATTGAGGCATGGCTTACCAATAGAAAGCAGGGAGTACCATTAATGGAGTGAAATCTGAATGGGGATTATCACTATGGCGTTCCACAAGGATCAGTTTTAGGCCCTCTCTTGTTCATAATTTACATTAATGACCTTGATGAAGGGATTACGAGTGACATGAGTAAATTTGCTGATGATACAAAGATAGGCCGTATAATTCACTCTGAGGAGGATATCAATGAACTCCAGGACGATTTGGACAAATTAATGTCTTGGTCTGAAAAATGGCAGATGAAGTTCAATGTGGATAAGTGTAAGGTACTAGTCCTTGGTAATGAAAATAACCCTCGAAGCTATAATCTATGTGAAGTAGAGCTTGACCGTACAGAATGTGAAAAAGACTTGGGAGTCATGGTAAGCAGAAATCTAAAGCCAAGATAGCAGTGCCTTAGTGTGCGCAACAAGGCCAACAGATTACTTGGATTTATCTCAAGAAGTTGGTATAAACCTTGGTAATAAATACCGACAAGTTGCTTACGTGTCTTTCTAAACCAATCTCAAGAAGTATAAGTAACAGAAGTCCAAAAGTTATTTTACAGCTCTATACATCACTAGTGAGGCCTCATTTAGATTATGCTGCTCAGTTTTGGTCTCCTTACTACAGGATGGACATAGACTCATTAGAGAGCATTCAGAGAAGAATGACTAAAATGATTTACTGTGTAAGGAACCTCCCGTATGAAGATAGACTTAAAGCCTTAAATCTTCACTCTCTGGAGAGGCGTAGAATGAGAGGAGATAGCATTGAAATGTATAAGTGGATGACAGGCATAAACAAGGGAGATATTAATAAAGTACTGAGGGTGTCGAACCAGGTAAGAACCAGAAATAATGGATATAAGTTGGATAAATTTAGATTTAGAAAGGACATAGGTAAGTACTGGTTTTCTAACAGAGTTGTAGATGCGCGGAACAGTCTTCCTAGTGGGTTGATAGAGGCTAGGACCTTGGGTAGCTTTAAGAAGAGACTGGACAAATATATGAGTGGGAGGGGCTGGGTTTGATTGGTGTCCTTGGGTACGGGAGTTATTTCTTGGGTGGCTTTAGGTAGAGATCGTTTTGATAAGGACCTGCCTCGTATGGGCCAGTAGGCCTTCTGCAGTGTTCCTACATTCTTATGTTCTTATGTTCTTATGAATGGCCCCCACGGTACATCTGACACGCGTGTCGTAACACATGTACGACACGCGTGACCTTCATTACTAATTATTTCTTGGGTAATGTTCTTCCCAGTGAGTGACTGTTATCTCATCATTTAAAAGGATCATGTTCTTGAACAGCAGCTGTTGCTGATCTCTGAAAAATGAGTTCATGTTATCTATAGTTTCAGTGACGTTACTTACCAGTTTTTTGTGAAGGAAGCTTTCTTTTACACAGTTGAATTTGCAGACTAATTGCTGTTATCCTACTGTAGCTCGATTCAAATTCCAGCCCTGTCTCACTGTTACCCCCGTCCCCTTCCCAGGATGCCGTCTAAAACAGTCAACCTCTCTCTCTCTCTCTCTCTCTCTTTCTCTCTCTCTCTCTCCCTCCCTAGCCGAGAGAAAATACAAATAAGAACAACGGAACACCATAAAAAGTAATGTTTTTCTCCAGTAATTTTTTCTTCAAATGAAGAGCTAAACCCCCTTTAGGCCATTCAACGCAACGAGTAGTGGAGACTCGATCCTCCGTTCGCTGACCGTGGCGTAGTCTCTGCTTCTGTAAAAGCAAAAGAGGTCAAACGCATCCTACTGCAACCATACTTCAATAAAAAATGTTTTTAAAGCTCTGGAAAAGGTTCCATCAAAGTTCCTTCCTTGATGCTAATGTGGGGCTCTTGATCCAAAGAATTGCTACTTGCCTCCCATTACCCTGGCTCCTGTATGATCCCTACGGGCTTTGCGCACCGCTCTCCCTCCCCAAGGATGAAAAACTAATAATGTGAAAAAGTCATTTCATGAAGGTCACACCACACATGAAAGACGCAGAGAAACACGCTCTATTTACTAGGATTTAAAAAAACAAAAAATGTTGTCGACATTTTCCCGTTGAAGGACTAAGCTGCAGCTAAATAATAGGAAGATTCAAAGGCAATCCATGAGAGTTGTTGTTTTTTCTAAGATAAAACCATCAGTCATACTAGTCAAAACATTTTATACCGTAAAATTTAGTTTTTGAGAATAACGGGAAGAAAAGTAAGTTATGAATGGATAATTTATCAGCTACACGAGCACCACCAAGGCCGTGACGAGCACCACCAAGGCCGTGACGAGCACCACCAAGGCCGTGACGAGCACCACCAAGGCCGTGACGAGCACCACCAAGGCCGTGACGAGCACCACCAAGGCCGTGTTTCACCTCCACACCATCAGTGAAGGATACTTTGACCCCTGTAATACGGATTCAGGGATACAATAACCCTTGTATTACGGATTTAGGGATATTTTAACCCCTGTAATACGGATTCAAAAATACTGTAACCCCTGTAACGCGTTTTCAAGGATACTTGAACTCCTGTAATACGGATTAAAGTCAACTATCAGCATGCATACAATGAGAGATATAGACCTCACAATGTATATACCCTTGTACCTAAGTGGAATTAGAAACAAATTATCTCCCTAAATATAAGCTAAAATTGAGAAATATATA